CAAACTCACCCCCTAAAAAGTGAATGTTGCCAAGCCTTCTCAGCGGCCATTTTTCAAATGACATTCCTCACCTTCCTCGGGCTCTTCCTGGACCATACTGACACAATCCCACCATTTCTTGGCCCAAAGAGACCCCTCGTTTCGAAACAATCTCTGGGGGTACTTTTTGTGCTCCTCGGCCTGGTGGAGAATTTTCCCTGAATTGGGACACTGCACCCATAGGCCCAAATTTAATTTCAGTCGATGTCAGTGTCTAAATCTGATAACCAGTGACTCATATTGGATGGATATGACTGTCTCATTTGATTGACAAATAGTAAAAGACTAATTAACCTTAATGTTCTGGAATTTTACATTCGTTTTCCAGAACACCCCCATCCATTTTATGGTATATTTTTTATGCGAATTGTCGAAAAGTATCTCCATGTATGGACTTAGCGTACGTGTGGCAAGCCACGTGCACGCAGAATCTTGACCAATCAGAATCAATTAAACTGTCTTGCATCCAGGTGCCTGCAGGTGATTCACGCAATGGGCATTTTCATTAGGTATTATCAAATGTTAATACAGTGTACATGAACACGGTCAGGTTGCGCGTTGTTGAATAGCCAGACTGTCAGAGGTATTTACATGTATGAATTAGTATTTGACGGTCTACGTTAATTGCCTGATTGTTGACAAATTTCAAACAGCTAGGATGAATCCGTTGTAGCGTGATTGAGCATAGACTCACCAATTGCTCAGAACTAAGAATGAATTGGAAGTTTCATCCAATATACATGTAATTCTCTAGAATTTCTCTGATGCCATAAAGGCAATGTCCTCATTAACCTATTTCACCAGTCAAGTTTGAGGCCGTAATTCAATTTTTTTGTCAGTTTTAAAGGTGACATTTCTTCAACTTTGCACTTAAAGGAGAAAAATCAGATGATTTCAAATAGAAACTAAGGCTAGTCTTGTTCACTTCCTTCTTTTCAAAAGATGTCAAAATTTGGGCATTTTCTTGTTGCCAGTTCTACTTGCTGGATAATTTTGCAAAATAGATGAAAAGTATAGTGGGAATGGATAGGAAAAATACGGGTGATACCCCATCCATGTGGAGTTTCATTCAAGCGTATTTGCAAAAATGGCAACAAGGTCATTGTCAGTTCATTATCTGTGGTATTGTTTTTTGCAGTTGCAGTTAAATGTCCATCTTGCACATACTCGTCTGATTTGGTTTCTGTCATCCCTACTCACATCACTTAATTGGCCGCCTTAAAGAGTTACAGTCATGGTAACATGCCTATTATGATTGTCATTTTTTTGTAAATAATTTGGACATCTTTTTGGTGGGGTATTTTACAGGTGGGTCCTTCCATGTGAAACCAACCACTTTCTGGGGTCAGTCTCACAGATTTTCTTGAAATTTGTTGAAATTGTTTTGTCTTGCGAATAAACCTTCAGTCCCAAGTATATTCACAGCTGCTTGCAAAATATTAAAGTGGGATCTTCAGGTGTTTAGATTGGGGAAAAGTTTCAAGAAAAGCATCAGAGCCAAACTCCATTAACCTGTACACACTACCTGTTGAGTCTTGTATCAGAGTCCATCACAAGTCCTTTCACAAGTCCCCTTCACAGGGCTAGTCATAAATAACAGGGTGAGCAATGACGTAAGAATACTTTGTCACAGTTCATTTGCATAGCTTGAATTGACTTTAAGACTGAATAACGTGATGGACTTGTGATGGACATACTTGGACTAGTTATGGACTTACAGGGACTTGTGATGGACTTACTGGGACTTGTGATGGACTTACTGGGACTTGGGATGGACTTACTGGGACTTGGGATGGACTTACTGGGACTTGGGATGGACTTCCTGGGACTTGTGGGCCTTAATAGCAGAAAGCATTGCTCAGTGATGTTGTGAAAATCAGCAGACAGCTTGTATCCCATCAGTACATTTCATTTCACAATAAATATTTCATGATCCCCCCTTACTATCATCAACCTCGAACTGTTTGAATGATTTAATCACACCCTGCCAGAAATCTTACATTTTCGGTCAATCAGGGTACCTATTAATGACAATCGTCTTGCACAGGCAGATGCAGTTGCAGCACAGTTGAAGATACTGCAGGATAAAGCCAAAAAGAGAGATGTTCAAAGCCGGATTGACATCGTCAAACAGGAATTAAGGGAAAAGCAGAAGGTATGTGAAGATGTTGAAGAGGTGTCTATAAAGGGGTAAGACATTCATAATAGGGTAAGGACTATGCAAGAGAATGCGAAAGGTGCAAGGGCCTGATTGGCGAGGTTCGAAGCAAGTGCGAGCCTATGTAATACCGAAGTTCTGTCTGTCCGTCCGTCGGTGCGTCAGGCTGTCCTCAAATGTTAAAGTTTTTCCTTTCAGGTCCATAGGTGTTAAAATGTGCCAATGAGTGCTTGTTTGCTTCCTCTTGGAATTCTATCAGTATTTCAATTGTATCATATGGCATTAATGCTTAGAAACTGATGAATTTAATGAAAAAATTATAAAAGTTGAATGTTAATGTTTTGAGTTGTGTTGTGTACTTACCTTGTAGTACATACAGTACATATGTACTGAGCATTCCTGTAATGTACATGTATGTGTGTATGTATAGACAGTGTTTAGACACATACAAATGTACATGTACATATACAGTATGTGGGAAAAATGTAAGGGATGGGGAAGGAACTTCAAGTGGCAGATTGGGATGTTTGTTGGGGGAGGGGTACCTGTAGGAGGAGGATCATGGGACAAGGTACATGTATGTAGAAAGTGGATGAAATGCTGGATAAGGTTGGCGTAATGGTTGGGCTGGATA